CAAACATTACAGAGCTCTAGTGCGTCTATTTGACAATTGGATCCGGAGAAACTCCTGTTATATTGCAATTAAACCAGAAATAATTAAACAAATTGGCTCAACTGCCCAAGAGAGATGAAAGCATGGGATTCTATGAAGATCTGATTGGGGAACAGCAAAAATATCACAGCATAGGTGCCTTGAAGTAACTTTGGAGTATATAAGGGATAGCATAATCTTATAAAGCTATCCACTGAGGTAGGTGGGGGTAAGGCTATCCAGTGAGGCAATGGAGGTTGAAGAAAGCAATGTCAAGTCATAAGCTCCATCACTCTGTACATGTGTCATGATATCCCATGCACATATGAAAGCAATGGACCTTGAATCTGGACATTACAACTCTGCTTTATTATTTCTATGAAAGCAGTTTAATAGATTTTTTTTGGGGGGGGGTGCCTGATCTTTCATGCTGATGAAGTAACAGAACAATTGCAGCATGTACTTCTGGTGCTGTGAAATGATAATGATCTGCAGGCAAAATATATCCAGATGACTCTTTTGGGTTCTGCAAACTATGCCGAGATACTGACAATTTTTATTTATTTATTTATTTGATTTGTCAATCGCTTACAAGATAATAGGTATAAGTATATACATAGTTATGAATACATGAAATGGGTACATATAAGAAAAATAAAAGAAAAAATAGGACAGGGATGGTAGGCATGTTGGTGCGCTTATGCACTCCACTGTGGACATCAAGCTTCTCTATGTGAACCCAATTCTATAAGCAATTTCTTTTCAGAATTAACTCTCTTCAAAATCCGGGTTTATGCCAGGACATTATGATTTAAAATATTTGACTATCTTTAAGAACAAAGATTAACATTTCAAAATCTAGTAAAGTCATACTATATCACTGATCACTACAAAAACGAAATGTCTATAAATGTTTGGGCTAAACTTAACACAGTGTTGGGGGGGGGGCAGGTTTCTTGATGTTAATCTCTATAGTAATCTTACTACTACAAGAAAGGATGATATTCCCATTCTTAAATAGGGATGCCAGAATGTCGAGTGCTGGCAGAGTAAGAGAATTAAGATTTCTCAACACAAATGGTGGTGTCATAAAAGCTGCTGTGAGAAGGTTCAGAGGTCATGTCAGTTCAGCAGCACAATTAAGAATGGCCATGGAAAACAGAGACCATGACTGGAGGGAAGTCAAGGCATGCAGTCAGAAGTTAATAGGGCCCCAGTTGCTGATTCTGTCATCACTACTATTGCTGCCAAAATGCTAGAACTATTATTATACAGTATACAACAAGGTTTCTAGTGGGAGAAGATAAAAAACTTCATTTCTATATTAGATCAGCTAAGCTGAAATTTGGGGGGCTCTGCTACAGAGATGAGTTGAAAACAGTAACATTAAAACATGTCTTTGAAAAATGGCTAGTGAGGCAATTTTGAATTGCATTTGGGGAGGGGAGGAGACATGTGGATGAGCCATGAATCACATATTAAAACCACATAACTTGGGCTCATTCAACACACGCAACTCCAAATCCAGATATTTAGTTTGTGGTTCAGTGTATAATGCAAACATAGCCAGAGCTTCAGAATTTTCCTAAGCTTGGAAAGGATTGAAAATGTATTGCTGACAATTCCTATAAGACTCCTTGATATTGTTAATAGTTTTTAATTCTCCTATGGGCTTCTAATTTCTCTACATCTTCCCAAACAGGCAGGATCAGGAACTAGATGAGGGATCTTAAATGAGATCTGACTACTATATGTAGTTCTGCAAAACAAAGTGAAATTAATATTGTTCACAATTTGGAAACTATGATTGTATTATTGTATCATAAAATTATATTGATCTTATTTGCATCTCCCTTACGCTGCCAATTTATTTTCAGATGCCAGTTGTGATCCTTGTGTTTTGTTTGTAAAGTATCATATCTCTCCTTATAGTATGCGTTCATATAACAAATAAATCCCAAAAATTGGTTCACAGGCATCTCTCAACTTTCATATCTCCTTTTGTAGGCTGTATTTCAACAAATGTTTGAGGCTAATTGTATGTTAGACACCATTTTGAGTGTATGTATGTCGTACAGTGGCTACAAAGTCTGGTTTGTACAAACCAAAAATGGAGCCATTTCATATTCAAAAGGTACAACACACATCAAACCAGAAAACATTTTAGCAGCTTTCTGCACTGCATTATACCCTGCCCTACAACTTTGAAACCATTTTCATTCAGCACTATTACGATATTTGAAAACCAGAAACATAGATGCTAACAGATTGTCTTGAAGCCTGAAAAACATTCTTCCATTTCTTTGCCAGAGAAGTAGCCCAGGAATAGTCAGATCAGACAAAAAATGGTATTGAACTGGCATTGCTTTTCCATTGTAAATTTGATGCTGTTTCTGGAATTTTTTTGATCATAACCTTACTTTATGAATTTGACTTTTCCTGTTCCTTTTTCCAATCAATCAGGGCTATGGTAATAGTGCTCCATATTTATCACCAGATAGATGCCTGTGAAAGGTGGGGAAGGGTTGCCTTCCATTAACAAGAATCTATTGAAAACAAATAAAACAAGGGCCCAAGGTAAAAAAAGCAGATACTGCCCTCTGAAAAGCATGAATGTCTTTGAAGATTAGCATAAGAATGGCCTGTTGAATTTTAACCCCCTTTGTTATGCTTTATATATGCTCTATTCTTTTCTTTTCTCCTACCTCTTTCCCTTCCTCTTTCACAAGAGCTACCTGTTTTCCTTGTTCTACCTCCACCGTTTTCTTTTTCTAGTGAAAAATATGCATTTGTACAAGTGGTTTTTACACATACATAGCATACCTTATTTATTCCATTTCTATCCCGAGGCAATTCAGTGATTCTTGAGTAACTGGTATTTTAATTAGTAATTATTAATTCATCATATATGCAGTTTTATCCTGACTTATCCTTTTGTGAAGTGTGGTTTCTTGCATGTATACACACACGCACATACAAGAACAAAGAAGCACTCCCATTTTTGCTGAGAAGTCAAGCCCTTAGAATTAATTTCAGGTTAGGTTGACAAGGATTGAAAAAGCAAGATAGTGTATATTTTTACCTATCTTCCGCTTCATCTTCTTTTGGGAAGAACGACTTATATCCCAATTTTTTTTTATTTGAGATAAACACAGTATCCATAAAAAATGCATGAATCACTGTGGGTGATGAACACAATTGTAAAGTTCCTTGTTTACCAGCGTCTGGCTTACCACACATTAACACTGCAATGTATGCACACATGCCTGGAAATCCTCTAAATATAAACACCAGCAGCTGAGTCAAGGTTGCAAACTGTAGTTCTCCAGAATTTAGCAAATGCCTGTTTTGTTTTGTTTTTTGTGGTGTTTTTTTTTTTGCATGGTCTCTATTGCTAGTCATCTCAAAAGTTTCTGGGCTTTTATGTTCTTGTGGTTGGCCCTAATCAGTGTTACCCAAATCATGAATTTTCTCTTCAAGAACCAACATAACCCCCTTTGTTACTTTATTATGTTTCTAAGTGGGGCCTTCTGTAAAAGATTTTTCCTGTCGTTTTCTCCCCCCCTTCGCCCCTCCAATGGTTTTCTCCTTTGTTGTTTTGGGTCTCACAGGAGTTACAGGAACTCTAGAAGTGTGACTAGTTTGAAGAGCTCGGTGCCCAAGCAAGCAAAATACACCCAACAAAGAAAAATCGCTACCACACATTCAAGAGTCAGGCGGGCGTGCAAAAGGGAACGTTGGTTGTTCAAATGACTTTTGCGCTCTTAAAATTGAGAGAGACGCTTAAGCCGACCTGTTTTTGTTTTTTTAAAATTTCAAAGAGTTCCTTCCCCTTTTCCTCTCAATGTTACTCCCGTCTCCGCCCCGAGGCAAAAGAGGAGAGATGAACTCCTCTTCGAAAAATAGGCCCTCTTTGTTTCGCCGACTGTCGAGATGGCGGAGGAGACGATATCCTTCCGCGGGCGGGCTTGCCTCTTCACTGCCGCGGAGGGAGAAGACGAACGGAGCGCTGATTCGAGGAGGCCAACCCGGCCTGAGGAGATTGTACCGTTTGGAGGGCGGGGAGGAGGAGGGGATGCTGCCGCCGCCGACGTCGCCGAGGCAGCTCCTTTGTCTTTCCCACAATGCACCAGCTTCTCCTCCGCGGGAAAGCAAAATGGCGAAGGGTTGTTGTGGAGCCGGGCTGCCCGTGAGGCTGCCTCGGGCTTGAGCCCCCTTGTTGGCTTCCCTCCCCCCCCCGCGCGGGTTTGCCCTTTCGGAGGGCGGCGAGAAAGCCCGGCCGAAAGGCGGCTTCTCGGGCTAGAGCGCATCGAGCGCCATTGATTTCCCTGCATGAAGCGAGTGGCCCAACTGGAGAGACCGAATGAGGTGAGCGAGAGGAAGGGTCAAGGGAGGAGGAGATCAGCGATCTATTATCGATCGCAGGGTGGGGGTGGGGGGCAAGAGGAAGGGAAGGGAAACAGGCTCTCTCCCGTTTCCCGGTTTTTTTTTTTTTTTTTTTGGATCCCGCCATCTATTGATTTTGAAAGGGGAAAGAAAACAGCGTTGCAACATTTCCGCTCTCCCGATCGGTTGATGTTAACGGGAAAGGGGACCGAGAGAATGCAACCTTCCTGAGACGTTTCGGCCCCGCTGGCCGTGTTTTAGGGAGGGAGATGTGGGGTGGGGGTGGGCATCTCTTGCGCTGCAACATGAACAGTAGCTGGGGTTTGCTGTATAAGTGTGTGTATAGACACACACACACACACATACATATACATATATAGGGGGGGGCGTCTGGGTGTCCTAGGCAAGCCGAACAAAGGCGAGAATCTTCGCTCGTGATTTTATAGACAGATGTAATGTATATTCGGGAAATTGAGGAAGTTCTGCATTGCCATAATTTCGGTCTGCAAATGGGACTCGAAATCATCTTTTTCGTTTTTGTTTCCAGGGTCGATAAAAAGAGGTCGTTCCAAAAGAAGGGGTTGGTAAATTTGCTGCTATATTAATGCCAGTTTACTAGTTCTTGTTATTTTTATGATTTATTAACTGATTATTATCTTATTAATTATTTACCTAATAATAAAGGGGACCTAGGGCTAAAGATTTTACAGCACTGTTCCCCGAGACAGCATTTTATATTTTTAGTTCAGACAGCTGCTATTCCCTCCCCTCTCCTGCTTTATGTTGTACAACTGCTATATGTAACCCTTTGTGTGTGTTTGCACAGTTTGTTTAACATAATTAATGAATTTACCTTTTTAAGTTTACAAAGTATATTGAACTATGATCCATAAAGTGGGATGACACATCATTTTAAACCATATTTAAAAAATTGACCAAAATTAAAAGAATCAAGCTTTAGCACATTGTACAAAGACAGTTGCTGCCTTTGTAACTGGTCTGGTTAAATGTGTAATGGGGGAAGGGTCTATGAGTCAGAAGAAAAATGGTTTGGTAGTACTGATAAATGAAAAGGCAGCTTTGATCTTGTACAGTTGGGGGAGGGGAACAACCTGAGGCCACCTGCAGCCCCTGAGGCTTTCAGTATAGTCCCTAGCACTCTCTTCAACTGTTTCTGAAAAAATTTAGAATTTTTAACTACACAGGGAATAACCATGTTAACTATATTTTTAAAATGTTAAATTGAATATTATTTTGTTTTCATCCTGGCCACTTGTGCTTTGTACTATAGTCCTCAGCACTTCACACACACACAAAATCAAATGTGGCTTTTGATCTCCCCCTCCCCCAAAAGCTGCATTTCTCTAATGTAATGAGTTGTATATTTTCAATTTGCTTATACACTATACTTTCAAATTGCATTTGAATAGTAGTGTACTGTTAATGTCAACATTAACAATTACAATGATATATTAGGAACCCTAAATCTGTGATAGTCTACTAAAAAAAAATATTATAAAGCTGATAAAAGGTGCAAAAAGACATAACTCTCCCCAGAGCAATTACTCTGTGATAAAAGAGTATAATATTTGATGATTCTTAGCTTAAAAATGTTGAGGGAGCACATTATTTATTTGCAGGATGTGTGTGTTGTGTTTATTATTCTGTTTCCTATTTTTTCTTGTTTCCTGGCAAAGCTGTTTATACCTTTTAACAGCATTGTTGTTGCTGTTAAAAGAGCTTGTTACCTTTGCTCTTGCTCCTTTCAGTATTTGTGGAGTGTTAGCCAAGTGACATCATTTTTCATATTAGGAAATTGGAGTTCTCACCATTCACAACTATTCCTAGGCAGTCAAAATAGGTCTTGAAATTCCAGTCAAGAAATGTGGATAGAAAGAACTGGAATTCCACAAATGTAAGTAAATAAATTACAATAAGCTTGACCAGAATTTTAATCAATTGTTTAATTGGGACTGAGCTTATAGGGGGAATGGAAGAAGAGGGAAAAAGAAATCTGACTAAATAATTGAGACATATTGGTGATATATTAAAAGTGAATGAAATAATGTATGGCAGCCAGGTATAATTCTGTCATTGCTAACTACCACACTTAATAAAGACATTGCTTTTGCTGCTGTGTAGCCTTGCCTGTCACCTGAGTGTTTCACCTATTTGTCCTTCTTTCTCCCTCTCCCTCTCTCTCTCCCTCTGTGTGTGTGTGTGTGTTTGCTTGGTTATTAAGATGAGTATGCAGCTTCAGACTTCTGTTATATTGAATATGTTCTTGCAGGAAACAAGTTAAAAAACTAACTTGATGTGTTGTGCAACACCCACCCACCCCAAATTATAGTTATAACTTATAGTTCAGTGTTCTGTACAAATCCAGGCAATTAGATTAACTCAGTTAATTGAGATTTAGCATTTTATGCCAACATGATCTACCCCTGATAATATCTCTAAAGATATGCAAGGTATTGTTTCTCTCAGTTTAATAGCCTGTTTCTATTTTTGTCTAATTTTATATGAATTCTGTGGAATTTTAAAGTAAGCTTATGGAGTATATTTCCTGTGTTGCAAAAAGAATAGAACACTGAACTTCGCAATAACACTTTTGTTTGAATTCTTGCTTTCTGACCCCTCATCCTCAGCAAAATTAAAAAGATTCAGGGCCATGTTTATTTCTCTTCATATGTTTGCAAATGCCTTAGTTATGATGTATTGTTTCATTGTTTGTACAAGGGTTCAATGAACCAAGAGAACCCTGAGTTTGCATAGTGATAGAAATGATTATAGGTTGAATGCTGTGTTGTATATAAAAATATGAAAACCACTTACTAGTAACCAGTTGCTGCTAAATAATTTTACATAATGTATGTTACATAGACAGGTTTTTGATAATAGCCAGAAGTGTTTTTTCTTTTAATGCAATAAGATGTGCAGGTTTAATACAATTGGAAGTATACTGAGACAGTCTGAGAAAACCAAGATGAAAGCACATCTTTAGCCGATCAGATGAACAATGTAGAAATAATAAGCACACAAGTCATAGATTTAATAGTTTTTAGGATTATGGCATATTTCTGCAATGGATATTGAATTGCAATAAATTTCCAGTTTAAAAAATTACATACCGGCTTCATCTTCTTGTCTCAGATATGTCTGGAGGTTAAATATAAGTCTCACTCTCACTTAAATTTGTTGTGGTTTGAACATTAGCTTTTAATGTTTTAGAAGTTGCTCATGTTCATTATATATGTCTGTATTTTAGAGACTCTACGGGGGTGGGTAATTCAGTGGTCCACAAGCGGACTCCTTTGCACCGAAACCAAAAACCGCCAATATCCTTGACCAAACTCTCCTCACGGGATGGACAAAAATCCAAAAAGCCAGTGTGCAAATTTGAAGAAGGTCAAGATGTCCTAGCCAGATGGTCAGATGGCTTGTTTTATCTTGGAACCATCAAAAAGGTAATCCATTTTTAATTAGCCTAGCTTACAATGTCTTACAGCAAAATTACAAATTGGTATTATGGCTGCAAATTTATTTTTATTTCAGATAAACAAACTTAAGCAGAGCTGCTTCGTTATATTTGAAGACAGTTCCAAGTCCTGGGTTCTCTGGAAGGACATACAAACAGGCAAGTACATCATATCATGATGATGATGATTTGATCCTTTAGTAATTGATGTAAAACATGAATTTACTATACTATTTTCAGATTCCTTCCAGTTGTGATTCAGAGTGCAGCAGGGCATGATGAAAGGGTTAACCATTCTTCAGCTGTCACTTATGGTGGTGATTTGCTAAAGAGGACGGGGAGCTAGAAATGTAGTAGAGATGAAAATTATAAGGGAAGGAACAGGCTGAAAGCAAAATATGTGTAGCCCATATGTAGCCCAAAGACAGATGAGTTGCTGAATTTATAGACTACATAGGTCTCTTGTATAACTCTTGATCGCAAATATACTTCTCGAACTCCAGCTGAATTCAAACTGTCCTAAGTCATGGTTCACAGACCAGAGTGGCGGAGTTCACATATTATGCAAAGTAAAACCCAAATCACATTATGTCAGGAGTTAGCAATCAGTGTTCAAAATGTAAAATATAATTCATTTAATATGAAGCCATGCCTTTTTGTTGTTTTAGGAGCTACTGAAACGGGGGAAATGGTCTGTACAATATGTCAGGAGGAATATTCAGAAGCACCCAATGAAATGGTTATATGTGATAAGTGTGGTCAAGGTAATTTAAAAAAATAAGTATGTAGACATTTTAAAAACGTATTAGTATATTGTGTGCAGAGATAGTCCTCAACTTACAACTGTAATTGAGCCCGTAATTACAATCATAAGTTGTGGAAGTCATTAAGCAGGTCATCAATACTTGACTTGGCCCAATTTTGCAATCTTCACAGCAGTTAAGCAAATAGAGCAGTTGTTAAGCAAACCCACCATACCCAATGGGTGCTTTTTGCCATAATCCGGAAGTAAACACATGTTTTCTCACAAAATGCCATAAATCGTCCATAAATATGGATCAGTTGCCAAGTGTCCAAAATACAATCGCATGACCATGCGGGGGGGGGTGGCCATTGGAACTTCGAAGCTGGATTGTAGGTAGCTCTGGGAAGGTCTGCATAACTTCACATGGCTGCTAAGCGAATGGCTATAAGTCACAGACTACCTGTAAACGTAAGTGCATAGGCATTTCTGTTGATGCTTATTGCATTTATGCCATTCTCAACGTCTCATATTGTGTTTTCTAGCATCACAGGACATTTAATTTAAAATGTTTGGTTATGGGTTTTAATGTGACAGGACATTGCTCTATATCCACTTGCACCAACGTGCCTACCGTCCCTGTCCTATTGTTTCTCTTATTCTTTTATTTTTCTTATATGTACCCATTTCATGTATTCACAACTATGTATACACTTATACTTATTATCTTGTAAACAATTGGCAAATCAAATAAATAAAATAAATAAATAAATAAATAATAAAAGCAGGGCTGTCAAATTCCTGGCCTGTGGGCCGGATGCGTCGCATGCTGGCCACACTCACGCCCGGTTTACTGAAGGGGGGGAAAGTCCTGGTATGTCACATGATGCTGCTGTGACGAGTGAGTGACACCCCTGACTTAAAAGAGGTTTTTTTTTTTTCCTTCTTAATTCAGGGTTGTTGTTTTTTTAATTTCAGGTTATCATCAACTGTGTCATACACCAAATATCAGTTCTAATGTGATAGATTCAGATGATAAATGGCTTTGCCGGCAGTGTGTCTTTGCAACAACAACAAAAGTAAGTTGATTACTTAAAGAAGTAATTGCAGTTGAAAATTGATTTTTGTACAGTGTTGGATATTAACATTTTCTGGTTTAATGCATTTTATTGTAGAGAGGTGGCGCGCTTAAGAAAGGACCAAATGCTAAAGCACTGCAGGTCATGAAGCAAACATTGCCTTACAATGTAGCTGACCTTGAATGGGATGCAGGCCATAAAACAAATGCCCAACAATGTTATTGCTACTGTGGAGGTCCTGGAGAGTAAGGAGTCTAGTCTGGGAATTTTTATTTTTATATGATATAGTAATATGTCTGTCTGTCTATCTATCTATCTATCTATCTATCTATCTATCTATCTATCTATCTATCTATCTAT